ACAGCTGAAGTTCATACATTAAAAGGGGGTACTGTATGAAGTGTTTCACTATGAAGAAGGATATACTCCAAGGAGATCAACTAAGTCCTATACTTCATCTTGTACTTAAACAATTTAAATAAAACAGTTAATATAAGATTGCAATGGAAACTGGTCATCAATATTCGTTTATTCACTCACTTTCCTTTGTTTATTAATTTCGAGAATAAATACTTTCAAGAAAGATTATTTACTACTTGAAATACTCGAGAGTAACCGGTATAAAAGTAACGAGTAGTTCCTATTTGCACATTACTACTTGTGGAGTTTATTCACTCTGTTTTCTAGTCACATCACTAGTACTTACGCCATTCATAGTGAACTTTATCTCTTCATTATAAACTTTTCAAATAATGATAATTTTAATTAATTAATAAATAATTTTGTTTTACTCCATTTTTTTCTACTTATTATTTCAACTGACTCCTTTCCTTATCATTAAATAAAGAAATATCTGATAACTTACATGTTTACTTATGTCGTATTCGCTTATTTCGTATTGGATCTGATAAATAGGTGAATAATCTAATCAATAATTTTATTTATTCCCTTTTATTATTTACTTATTAACCAATTGCTCAATCTCTTTTGTAGTACCTTAATGTTATTAGAGGAACATAGGCAGTTAAGCCAGAACTAGATAGAAGTTTCGAAACTATGAAGTAATAACTCGTTTTAATTTAAGAAAATCGAATTATCAGAACGAAATATATTCGCAAATCAGTTTAACGCTATGCAATTTTGTTTTTTTATTCGTATTTGTTGAAAATCAAAACAATTTTACTAGATAGTTTCTAGCAATATAGATTTTATTACAATGGATTTAAAATATAAAGCATATCACTTAGCAAAGTATTTTTGTATTATATGTCAAATATCTTCAGAAATATGTGATATTTTAATTATCCACATAAATTAACTTAAAATTATCCAATTCCAAGAGGTAAAAAAAAAGGACGAATTGTGAAGACACTTTTACTCTAATTTAGTGTTTCCACAGTAAAATGTAATAAAATGTTAATTTTTATGCATGTTTTAAATATTTTATATATATAATAAATTTAACTGTTTTATATAATACAATTTTTAGGAATTTAATATAAATAAATTGTATAGAAAGAAAAATCTTTATAAAGATAAATTTTTCGAATAATGAAAATATCCATTCTTACAAAAATTGCATTTTATATTATCAAAATTTTCATTCTTCACTAATTAATCTTTTATTTTGTTCTGTAAATACTACATTTTAAGGTTTTTATTAAAAAATTATTAATAAAACGATCATTAATTTATGAGTTAATTAATTCGTTCATGTATAAATATAGATTACAAAGATTATCTGGTATTATATATTATATTAACTTTGACTATAACTTTTAAGCGTGTTCACATAAATTTATATATTAAAAAAATAATAAAGAAACATTCTCTAAACAATATTCTAATATATTGTAGCAATCAATATTCGTCATCTAAGATGCTGACATGATCAATATATTTCGTGTTTGATTTAGAAACAGGAAGGAGAAAATTATTTACTATTTTTATTAAAAATGTAGTGACTTAAATAATTTCTGAACTTCAGAAATCTTATATAAAAATGCTCTTGATCTTATAAGATTTTAGTTATATTATTTTTCTCCATTTTCTTCAATTTATTGAATGAATCTCCAATTAAATGTAGATTCTTTCAATAAATTGCCATTGAAAACTTTCAATCACTTGGAAACAAAGAATATTAACAGAGAAGACAATTGTTAAATAAACAAGCACCTTTCCTGGTGAATAAATGTGGTGATGAAAGCAGAAATTAAAATAAGATCAAGGGATTTCTCTTCTATTAATTAGTTTAAAAACCAAACAAAATTATCAAAACTTACAATATTTAATAGACATTTTAAAAAAATACTTGTTACCTTTAAAATTAAATAAAAAAATTTAACTTAAAGTATAAGCTAAATGTAAAATTTTAGATTGAATAAAGGGAACATGATAGAGAATAGAATAAAGGAACAAATAAGCCAATAATACAAAGTTGGATTTAATGATCATGTTTTAGATGTTCCTAGGATAAATAATGCATATGTTGGTGAGATTGCATTCCTAATTTTAACAACAAAGATAAACATTATAAAAGCGGTAGAATATTTCAATTCTGTACGGAAAAAAAATCTAACATTAAGTTACGTGTTATCACGTTGATATACGATTAAGGCTCGGCAGAGTAAAATTCTTAGTGTCACAAACAATTTATTTTCTTGACAGGTTTATTATGTGAAATAAAAAAATTCTGTATATTTTATTACGAATAAATGTTTTTAAATGGGCAAAAGTGATAAACGCAATTTTTCCATCTAAATTGCATAAAAGTTGTTCCTATCCTCAATCCATTTTCTTAAATTTCGTTTTGTTTTATTTTTCATTTTAGTTTAAATGATTTTTTTTAATTAGTAAATAAATGTCTGTTATTTAATATTCATTGTTAACAGTAATTACTAATGACAAAGAACAAATATCATAATTGAAAAATACTTTCAGTAGTCCTTATGTAGTGCGTTTATATTATGGAGCCATCAAAGAACTTGAGAATTTTATATCAAAATTATCCTTCATAAAAACGCATTAAAATTCGCTCTAATTACTTTTTTTGTTATAACAACATTGCTTGCAGGCACATTATGCCGCTACATATGTGCGTAATGGGACGTATTTGACTCAGATCGAGAAGATATGCGAATAGGATGAAGCGAATTGATGTAAAAACGGTTAGTTTATTCCCGATATTCCTAACGCATTTATATTAAGCGTGTAATACTTATTAATCGGTCTCCTGCTTAGCCTGGAGAGTTTTAATAATAGAGCAATATCATATAGAACATAAACAAAATAAAATTAAAAGTATTTATTTTTAATTACAATATCTCACTTAAAATTTTTTTAATTAAAAACACGTTTTTTAAAACGAAAATTACACACACAAAATTTAACTAGAACTGGCCCTAATTATGTATCCTAAATGAATTATGATTTTCTCATCATAAGTAAAGGAAATTCGTTCAATATTTAAAAGACAATTAAATTGCAAAGTGCAAATTACAAAGTTGCAAAGTGATGTGTTCAACGCAATTAAACACTTACTTTTCAACAGTTACATTAATCAATAATCATTTGACTATAGTACTCTATGATTATTGATGACAAAGATTATTTACAGAAAAAGCTAGGCTACTTAGAATGATATTTGATTCTAAGAATATAAAACTTTAAAATTTAAATCAATTTCTCAACTATTTTGAAATATAAGATACATATAACAAGAAACAGAAAATGGAATAAATATAACATAACGGATTTGATCCAGTTTACAACGTTTACAATCAATTAATTGGATTGTAAACGTTCCAGTAAATTGATAACCTGATGATGGCCTGTTGATCAGGTTGAAAACGTTAGTTTAAATTAGTAAAATGATCCTTAGAAATAAGGTGTATATGTTATATAATATGAGTCTGAGTGTATGTTGAAGTAAATGGAATAAATGCGAAACTCGCGATAGCTACAGGTGGGACTTATTTTCTTGAAAATACTAGGAATTTCGATTTTTAAAAAAATGCAATAATATGCATTCTTGGAGCGTAAAGACGTGTAAAATATTTGTTCCGGTTAAATTTTCTTTCATATATTTCTACTGAAGTTATAATCTACACCAGCTGTTATCGATACTGTTAGTCTGTAGTATGTGATGCGTGAAAACACTCTCCACTCATTTTCACACGGATTTACCTCGTGACTAGATAAACAACTAACAGATTACTTATAAAGTTTTATATTTTTAAACTTGAAAAGTCAAGAAATGCAAAAAATTCGGAGTTTTCCTTTTTCAGTTAATATGAATGTCTGTGTATGTACAGTACGGAGACACGATTTTGTTAGCCCACTTTAAAGCTTAATAATACCTGTGCCTTTTCTCGAAATTTTCTGAAATTTCGCAGAGTGGTATGTATATTTAGGGGATTGATGCTATTAAATTTTGTGGTTAAAGGTCAAGGGGTGGTGAGATAGAGATGTGTCATATCTGGAATCGAATGGGATTAATTAACATTTTTTACTCGTTAATATAAATTTTAAAGTGTTTTTAAACTTAAACGATACACTTTTTAATTTAATAAAGATTTCTCATAATTATACTATAACAATTAAAACTATTGTTTAATTAACAAAGATCATCATCAACCAAAATACTGATTTAAAAATTATATTAATAAATGTTATAATAATTAAATTTAAATGATTTTAATGTCATAATTTTAATTAATTTAAAGATATTTTATTAAACGTAAAAAATTCTTGTTTTAATATAATTAAATCATAAAAATTTCACTGTAAGAAATAATTTTGAATATTTGAAATATATTTAAATGATCACACAAACGTTTGGAATTTTATTATTATTATTAAATATAAAACTTTTATATTATGAAATTATAATTTCTTATGTATAAATGAATATATTAAATTTAATTATTCAAAAATAGAAAATAAATTGCTCCTAAAATAACAATTTTGGCAAAGAAACAAAGTAGAAAAAAATATGTTTTGAAGGATTATTTTTTACAGTATATACAGTAAATATATAATTATTTTTACTTGTGTAAGATAATTGGAAAATTCATTATTCTTAACCGGAAGTTAGTTTAATAATTACGTTTATTTAGTTAAACATAAGAGTAAAATCAATAAAACAAATAAGTTTCAGCTTTAATTAAAGCCTTATATATAATTCAAAATNTGTTCAGACTGAACACTTTCTTTATACATACCTATAAGACATATACAAATATATATAAAAGCATATATATTTGTATAAATAACGATATAAATTTTTCATTTAAATTTTCGTACAAACTAGTAACAGTAATAGAGAATACGATGTTAAAAAATGTAAATGCGTAACTTACCTTTCTAAACAGGTAGCGACTAATGTCAAAACGCTGGCAAATACAAAAATTGTCTGTAAATAGGACATAGCGGTGCATAAATTATCATTCATGGCACCCCAATTGGCAGGAGCCGTCAGTTCTAATAATTTAACAGGCAATACAAACCCTCCGACCATAAAGTCACAAATTGACAAATTAACAATATAATAATTGACAACGGTGTGCATCTTCCTGTTACTGACCACCACGTAGAATACCATTGCGTTACCTACCAGAGCCAGTAACATAACTATGAAGTATGCAACTATGAAAGTAATACAAACGGCAGAAATTTGCGTGAAATCTGGATAAGGAGTTTCTTCGAAATTTGTAGAACTCTCATTGTAAGTAAAGTTGAAATATGTTACAGGAGTTGTCATTGGCACTAATGTTATATCAAAGAAAAGCAATCATCTCTAGCAAAACGGAGCAATATCGCTACTGCCAGGACAAACGTCTGACTTATAGTGGAGTGTGTGAAGAGGTAACTTCACAAAGTACTCGATTGCGGCTCTCCCTGGCGGTTTTATATCGAACTATTCCGCCCACAATACTAACTTCAATTTTCTTTCACCTACGTAGTCAATATTGAACTTATTAAATATAATTACTTAATTACTAAAAGAATATGATTAGATATTATATAAAATATAATTTAAAAATTTAAAAATATATACAGTGCTTATTTTAAGGTATTGCTGTGTTTAGGCAGCCACAAATTTTAATTGTATTAAATTATTTTAATACAGTATTTTTTTATAAAATCGAATAGTTGACTGGTATTAATCTTGAAGCTGAAAATTCGATTTTATTTGTAGAATAAACACACAAAAATATTTTTTTTAAAAACATATACTTATCAATAATAAATAGCCTAAAGTACTGTACATCTTGGTAGTGGCGATATTTTTTCAACAGGTGACATTTGTTATTCTGAAAGTTTTTTGTTCCGAAAGACTAACAAAAGGCAACATCCTTGACTAGAAAAATCAATAGAAAAATTTTCTAGAATGAATAATACCTTTCAATTGTGATAAGTACAGTACAACATATCTTTTGATAGATATTTTCTAGTTAATCGTTAATACATCTTGTATTAATAATAAAATATTCATTTAAATTTATTTTAAAAGTATATTTCAAAATTCTAATATAAAAATTTCTACAGCTTATTGAATATCAGTTATAGTCAGAAACTCCTGCTTATAACTTGTTTACAGTTTCCAGATTAGTACGGATAGAGTAACTTGAGCAATATATTTAATCCTTGAACAAAAATAGTAACAAGGATGTATTATAGAATAACATCATTACTCTATAATTCAACAGCATTATAGTATACAAATTCTCTATTTAAGTATACATACAGTATATACGTATAATGTGTAAAAACAAAATTAAATTCATTGTATTTAAATATTATTAATTTACTTTAATATAATAAATAACAATTACCAGAATGTATTTACTAAAATAATATAATAAATATGATAAAGTTTAAAGTAAGAAATTACTTTAAAATCTCACTTTTTAGAGTTATGTTTTCAAATAAAATTTAATGGAAATAATGATAATTTAACTACATAATTTTATGTAAAATTATTTGAAAATATGAAAATAAATTAATAGATATGTATTTCATAACAGGAAAGTTGTTATTTTGATAAATTTTCAATAATTTTTTTTAATTTTTTTATTTATATACCGGTATTTAAATTGATGAAAGATTTTATGTTTGTTAAATTATAATTTAAAAATTTTTCGTATTTAATATTTACATGCAAAGTTACAGAATGATAAATATAATAAATTTTGTTGCTTACGCCAACGCATATGAACTTTGAAAGATGTGAAAGTTTTAATTTTTTGAACTAATTTTCATGTATTCAAAACATTTTTATAGTTATCAATTAATATATATTTATACTGTTTATATCAAACGTTAAAAACAGACAAAAATGTCATTAAGCACATTTATCTTTCAGATGAATTATTGTTGAGAGAGCCGATTGAATTCCTTGAATCGCCCTTTCAACCCTGATAGTTGGTCGTGAGTTCGTGCCTCACGTGGAGTTTTCGTGTTTTCTTTGTGTGTCTAACTCGTAAGACCTAAAGGCTGATTCACACTATACAGCAGGCTACCGACGGAACAGTGTATTATGAATTTTTAATGAAGCCATTCATACCAATAGTCACTAAAAGTTGTTTGTCATCGCCTTTGGCGAGAAATTTTTGCTTGTCAATGTCTGTCCGTTCTGGTTACGTGCTCCTAGTGTAAACAGTCAGATGCCGATTGCTAAGTATTGTTACTTTCGATGTTGATCAATATTTGGGTTTTAAATGTGGGCACGAAGCGAGTATTTCTTCTATACCCATCCCAAGTAGATTTATTTAGCCCCTAATGAGGCCGGGTGGTGAGGGACAGGACACACTGCATCAGGGGCCCAAATTCAATCCCGGGATCCCATAGCGGTAGGCTAATGTCTTAATTGCGTCATCCGGCCGTCACCTGCCGTAAGTTAATAAATTGTCGGTAGCATACTACCAGCCAGTTGTATAGTATGAATAAACATTAAATATGGACCAGTTTTCCATACAATTTATTGTGGCAGACATCACTTAAAAGATCGCCCATGTTTTGTATTGTCTTATTTTGTCATTCAGTCAATCCATTGACTGTTCAGATATCTTTGGAAATTATATACAGTAGACCCCCTATAACGCTTAGATACGTTCCACGTTAATCGAATTTTACGTTGTAGGAATCATTAAATACATGAGCCAATCGCAGCCCGACACGTGTGAAGTTTACGGACTAAGGCTGTTTGAAAGGTTTTCTTCTATAAAATTAACCGATTCTAGACTAATTCCACTCAACATTTCCAAAACACGTATAATTTTTTGGGAATAATCCGTATAAACTATGCTATAAACAAAAAATTATAGGATTACTTACCGAGTGTGTACCGTTCGACTACGCCGTTGCTTAAAGCTGGTTTTCTTCGCGGAACAGCACATGAAATGACGGCCGCGATTTCTGATAACGAATTTTTCGCAGAAAAATAACTTGACCTTTGGAGACATCATTAATATAAATAATTTTTATGGCCGTTGAATAAGAAGTGTTTCTTTCACAAGAAATGTATAAAATTAGTGCTGTATTAGACTTACGGTACCTAATTTACATACTGTGCAGACGATAATAAACTCAACTTACTAGCCTAAAATCTCCGTAGCGTGTTGCCAGGCGGCAGAAAGCATATATATAATTATAATAAAGTTACAATAAATTAAGTTAATATATAATTATATATACAGTACCTAATTTATATATAATTAATATATAATTATATGTACAGTACCTAATTTATATATAATACTGTACAGACGATAGCAAACTCAATTTAGCCGCTCCGTAGCGTGGCGCAGGGCAGAGGAAAGTAGTTCGGCTGTTCATCCACTATTGGTCCAGATTCTATCAATCTTGTCGTGACACGAGTCGGCGACGACGTTTTAGGAATATCTTTATACGAATATTGGTACAATTTTTTGCTACGTTATAGGAATTTCCGTTATAGGAACCCACGTTATAGGGGGATCGACTGTATAAGTATTTTATTTTCACTAAAACACGAATTAACTTTTAATAATTAGCTAAATTTTCTATGATAAATTTTATGTTTTTTAAATTATTTACTTTAAACACACAACATCACTTCATATTTATATTGTCACTTATTCTAATCAAACGTCAAAAGACAATTAGGTTAAATTTTAAAAGAGAATTTAAGAAATAAAATTTATTCGAATAACCTTTACATGAAGAAACATAATTCTGTCAATTACGTTTTCATTTTAGGATAAATTATTTACGTAACGGTAATTTTGGGAATTATCAGAAGTGTAATAATAATAGATACACGCTGTGTAGGAAAAGCTGGATAAATCGCGCGTGACCACACATTTTAGGGTGCGACTATGCAGACGCGAGCGAGCGAATTTTCCGAGCGAGCGAGAATATGTGGCGAGAAGAGACGAGACGCGATAAATATCAAAATCTGTCAGATATGTGCGAGTACCAGAAATTCGCTCTCGCCAGCGTTATTTCTCGCTTCTCGTTTGTGCATGGTTTTCCTTTGCGAAAACTAAATCGCTCGCAACCTCTCGCTCGCTCTAAATTCGCGTCTGCATAGTCGCACCCTTAGACTATAGCTGGAGTTACTTTATCGTCGCGAGAATTAGACGCAGCCAATCAGTAATAAGTAAACGTCATGAGATGTTTGACATCATTTTTTTCACGAAATTTCTCGGTGAATGGTCCCAGCGACTGAGAAATATTAATGGGAGTTCGCAACTTTCCTGAAATTATTGACAAGAAGAATGAAAAGTGATGATATTGAATAAAGTCACCGAAAGGTAACGGATTAAGATGAAGTGACGTCATCGCTAAGTTGATTTAGTAAAATAATTCATTGAGCTCGGCATGTATCGATGATGAACTCGGTGACCAATTAACACACGTCACTACTCATCGCTTACACAGTGTAGCCTTTAGGAATGCTTTAGGAAAATTCTCAATGGGTTTTATCGACAAACTTACAGAAATAAACGACAATTATTTATTGTGACATCATCAAAATACCGGACTGCAATTTTTAATCGTGTTTTTAATTTATTTAATTTAAAATATATGCTCTCCACATCAAATTAGTAATGTCTTGCCTCTTTACATCATACTTTTCCTCATAACAATAAAGTCGTGCCGGTCATTTATCTAACTCCTTTCAGAGGAAACTTTTTGAATTGAAATCACGTAATTTCCGTAAAATCACGGAAGTTCTTATGCAGTTAATCCGGGCCTCCTTTCCCTAAGCTTTCCATATCTGGTACTGATTTGTAAAATGAATAAAATTGATTCATTCAAAAACTAGAGAACTTATTAAACTAAGGATTATCTCTATTATAATTAACTATTATTCCAAATATTTAGAAATTTGGTAATAATAGAAATTATTACAAACTATCGAATAGGTTTTCTTTTATATTTAATAACTTAATAATTGTTTCAAATATATATGATGATAATAATTAAAGAATAAGTGTTCAGAGCTCTCTGTAGAAAGAACTTATTAAGCAAATCTCAATCAATTTATGTAAATACATTTTCCAGAGTATACGGTTTCAATTTTTGGAAAAATATTTTACTTCAAAATTCAGTCACTAGAACGAAATTTAGCGCTGCCCTCTCCTTAATGTGCATATTACACACGTTTTCTAACGAATTTTGGGAGTTAAGAAACAAAGTGTATAATTTTAATTCAATTACAGAGGTGAAATGTAGAATTGACGTACGATAAAACAAATTGAGCACCAGTCTTGGTGCTCAATTTGAACAGGTGAACAGTCTTGTTCCCCTGCCAAAGAATTGTGAAGAACGCTTTGCGTCTTTTTTTACACCTGAAATTAAAGGGACAGCAGCACCAAAATTCATTCTAGCTGCTAAAT